TTTTCGCGAATACCCAAAAAATGCATCCGAATTTTTTGATGAAAATTTTTTTTTTAGGAAGGTCCTGTGGTGGTCTATCACCCTTTTTGGGTTTTGGGTTTGGCCAATGGAAACCGAATAAAAATTGCTTTTTTTTCCGTTTTTTTCCGCAGTTTTTGGCCCATAGTATCGCCATTTTAAGTCTGACTTAATGAGCCCATTAGACTTTTTTTTCGCCTTTTCAAGACGAATCGATTGATAAAGTTGAAGTCAAATCGGAGTATTTTGAAAAATCGCCTTTTTTACGCATCTAGATTATTTGGGTTTCCCCGTAAAAAGGGCAATTTTTCAAAATACTCCGATTTGACTTCAACTTATATCAATCGATTCGTCTTGAAAAGGCAAAAAAAAAGTCTAATGGCGCTCATTAAGTCAGACTTAAAAGGCGATACTAGGGGCCCAAAAAACTGCGGAAAAAACGGAAAAAACGCAATTTTTATTCGGTTTTCCATTGGCCAAACCCAAAACCAATAAGGGTGATAGACCACCACAGGACCTTCCTAAAAAAAAATTATCATCAAAAAAATTCGGATGCATTTTTTGGGTATTCGCGAAAAACGAATTTTTTGGTCCATATCTCCTGGAACAAGTCACTTTTAAAGTGGCTCTCGGGGACTTTTTTTTTCAGTACCATGAAAAGAAAAAAATCCACCGGGCAGGTCGCCCTCAGGCAACAAACAAATTTTTAGTGCAGGTTTCAGTGTTTTTTACAAAATACGTGATTAAATTTTTTTGGGCCGACCAAAAAAGTTGAAATTTTTTTCTGGAGCTCTTTGCTCCATAGGGAACACACCCACAAAGTTTCGTCGGAATCGGAGACATCGATTTCGGGACCTCGGGTGACTTGGGAAAGAATTACCCAGCACCGATCACATCCGATTCGATTGTTCAACGACCCTGTACTTGAAGCGGAAGAGGGGCCATACTCAGATTTTCCTCTGCTCCCTCCACTTATAGACGCATTTGTTACGAATCGCCCCTGTTACAAATCGCCCCATACTCCCTTACGGTATTCGCCGTTAATTTATTACCAGGATTTGCCGTACTTAAAAGTACGGTGTTTACCGTACCTTGAAGTACAACAGCGTTTACCGTACCTGGGGGCCGTTCAAATATAACGTCACTTTTTAGGAAGGGAGGGGTCCGAGAAATCGTGACCAAGTGTGACATGGGGGAGAGGGGAATGAAGGCTTTGTGACATCACACTTTTCAACAGTGTAAAGTTGCCAAATATACTAGGTGTGAGCCTCTTAAAAATGAACTGAAATCAGCAATCCCCGCCTACTTCAGCTAATTTAAGCTGAAGTAGGCGGGGATTGCTGACAATTTAGTCACCGGCTTAAGTATTTAAGCTGTCTCAGATTTTTCCGAACAAGTTCGCGTTAGACCGGATTCAACCGGATTTGTCAAAATGCAATCAAATAAATATGAAATCTAAATTTGCACCTATTTGAGACGATCTAGTCGCGTATCTATCCCAGTTTCCAAGAAAAATGATTTGGGCCATGTGACGTCACGGGGAGGGGAGGGCTGAGAAAAAATAGTGACAATTTGTGACTATAGGGGGGGAGGGGTCGAAAAATGAGCCTAAGTGTGACGTCATATTTGAACGGCCCCCTGGAAGTACAGCGATTCCCGTAGTTTGTACAAACACGGTAAAAATGCCGCCTTGAAATCCAAGGGGATGTCTTGTTTATTTCCAAGGGGTTTGAGTGAATTTTCAAAGTGGTTCAAATCAAGATCTTTTTATAGAAATAGATTCGTCTCGACAAGGCAAACAAAAAATGTCAACACATCTCATAGGTTTGGATGGGAAATGACAACGTTATTGAGCTTCAAAAGTACCAAAAAGGTCATTTTTTGACCATTTTTAAAGTTTGTGGGTGGGTGACGAAGAACTCCGCCCCGGTTAACTCTTTCCCCGGTCTTTCTCGCACCCGGGCTAAGCCGCCCCCAGTTTCATTTGAGACTCGCCCCAGCAGTTGTGCCTACTCGGCCCCAAATGCTCATTTTTGAATTTCCCGCCAAATCCCCGACAGGCAGGTCTGCCTTACTACTGAGCGGTTCCATGCTAAACCAACGAACTCTTGGAAACCCATCTCTTCGATGTGGATGAAATTTTTTTTTAGGGGTAGGGGTCATTATGAAAAGATCCAATGTCAAAGGATTATGCGATATATCACCCCGTTTAGCTGTTGTAACATAGCAAAGTTTTCACTTTGGTCAGGATCATGATATTTCCTTTATTTTTCTCCGTACTTACTGAACGTTTTTATATTTCTTCCGACAAAGGTTCTTTACGTTAAAAAAGCTGGGGAACGCGACGGAAATAGTTTTGAGACGATTGGGTGAAGTTTTGATGTCGCTCTCTCGATTTAACGTAATTTTTTTTTTTTTCCTCGAAAAATCGTTGTTTCAAAAAAAGCTCATCTTCGATTTCGATGTGACTTTCCTCCCCTGATCATCTCACATATTGGAAAAAAATCCTAAAAGGATTTGGTCGTCCCACCGTAAGTTTTTTTTCTGGGTACGAAAAGATGTATCATTTTTGGGCCCTTTTACTTGAATTCTCGAACGAACTTTCTTAGTTTGCGTCGAAGCTCATGACACGTGAGCATTGTCTTGAGACGAATTCTTTGATGTATAGTAAAGTCATTTTGGACAATTTTGAAAAATTTACACCCTATTTTAGTATGAGAGAATTGGTGGCGACTTAACCTGGGGACCGAAGGGACGGGACCGGAAGGGCGTGGGTGTCGGGATAGACTGGGGACGAGTTATTTGGGGCGAGTTGACCTGGATCCTTGTGGGTTAATAGCTTTTTCATTTTCCATCCAAACCTATGACATGCGTTGACATTTTTTGTTTGTCTTGACGAGACGAATCAATTTCTGTAAGAACATCTTTATTTGGACCACTTTTAAAAAAAATTTACTTGATTTAAAACCACTTTTTGTGAAATTAGAAAATTCACTCAAATCCCTTAGAAATATAACAGGACATCCCCTTGGACTTCAAGGCGGCACTTTTAACGTAAAGTTGAAGAGATCTTGCGTTAAATTCAATTCTAAAGAGTTAAAGTAAATTTTCAAAATCTCGTAAATTGAATTTGATGTCAAGAAATGACTACTTCTTGACAAGTGCATTGTACAAATTGGGGTGATCGCCGTACTTCCAGGTACAGTAAACGCTGTACTTCTAGGTACGGTGAGCACCGTACTTCAATGGGTACGGTAAACGCTGTACTTCTAGGTTCGGCAAACACCGTACTTCAATGGGTAAGTACGGTAAACGCTGTACTTTTAGGTACGGTAAATGCCGTACCGTCAACGGGGGTACACGGTAAAAACGGAACCTGGTTTTCCCAGGAAGCCAATGGTGAAGGCATAGGCGATTTCCAGGGACTTCCTGGGAAAACCAGGAACCGTTTTTACCGTGTAACTTGGGACGCTTTTTCACGTTTTTTGAACGCTAGAGGCAAGATTCTCAACCCAGACCAATGGATCCTAACTATGTTAAAGTTTGACCCTTTCCCCATGATTGCATGCTTGTCTGGTTCATTTGCCTCGATTATATCGTTTACAAGCGGTCTCGAAAGAGTGTCCCAAGTTACCCCATGACCGGGGGTAACTTGGGACAGTAGGTAATTAGCTACATTCCCATGCATCTATTGATGTTAATGGACGTGATAAATTTAAGTTACAACATGTAGACCAAGAATTTAGGCCTAGGAACTCTTGTAGGACCGATATCGGACTATATCTAGGGCTCTACGTGGAACTCTCCTTTCTACTGGTATTATCCAAGCATTTTCTGAAAATTTCAAAATATGGATTACCAGAAGACAAAACTACAGAGCAAGGCAGCTCTTTTCCTCATCAGCGTAAAATCCGAAGTTTAAGTTATGTCAGGGACCGGGTCAGTCAACTTCTTGAAGGCTAGGACTGCTGTCTATTCATTTTCGTCAACCTATTTCCGTCCACCCACTTCCAACCACCAATTTCCATCCACCCGAATGCGTCTACGCATCAAAGCGTCGAAACGTCTTTCAAAGACGTCATTTAAAGTTGTCGCCCAACAGCGACGGACAAAGGCGTTACTTGAAAAAGTCGGCCAAAGCCGTGACCCAAGGCATTGCTCTGAGTTATCATCCTAACGTTTCACTCTGGGCCGTCTCCCTAAATTTGTCTTCCAAACCGTCCTTTAAGCCGTCACCCTAAACGGTCAAATTAAACTGTTGTTCTAAGCCATTTCCGTCCACCCATTTTCGCCCTAAACACGTCCCCAAATGCGTCGCTTAAAGGCGTCGCTTAAAGGCGTCGCTTACAAGCGTCGGTTAAAGGCGTCGGTTAAAGGCGTCGCCCAAAGGCGTCGCCCAAAGGCGTCGCCCAAAGGCGTCGCCCAAAGGCGTCGCCCAAAGGCGTCGCCCAAAGGCGTCGCCCAAAGGCGTCGCCCAAAGGCGTCGCCCAAAGGCGTCCCCCAAAAGGGCGTCCCCCAAAAGGCGTCCCCCAAAAGGGCGTCCCCCAAAGGGGGGCCCCCCGGGGTCGCCCAAAGGCGTCGCCCAAAGGCGTCGCCCAAAGGCGTCGCCCAAAGGCGTCGCCCAAAGGCGTCGCCCAAAGGCGTCGCCCAAAGGCGTCGCCCAAAGGCGTCGCCCAAAGGCGTCGCCCAAAGGCGTCGCCCAAAAGCATCGCCCAAAGGCAGCGCAGAAAAGCAGCGGACAAAACGAAGGGCCAAAGACACTGCCCAAAATTGTCATGCTAAAATGTCGCCTTAAGCCGTCCACACACCCACCCATTTACCACACTATATTGTTAAAAAAAAAAAAAAATTCCCTTTTTCTAACATGAGCTTTTTAAAAAAAACTTTTCTCGTCCGATTAAATAAAAATGAAATTTACCTCATTTTTCTTATTGCTGCCTTCACGCTTCTTTTGTTCTATTCCATCTGCCTTATTTGATGTCTTCTTTTCCTGTAAATTTTGAACATATATTAAATCCTTTACAGTTTCCGTTATACTCAAAGAAAAAATTGAAATTTAAAAATACCTTTGGCTTTGTAGTTTTTCCTGGCTTCTTTTCCCCTTGGGTATCAGTAGACGATGAAGCAAGATCCTGAAATTTGAAAAAAATGCCCAGTTAGCTAAAAACTTTATTTACCATTACAACAATAAATCATTACAACTTAAACTCCACATAAACATAACACAAATTACCTCATCTTCGGATGACTTTTGAGCTTCTTCATTTTCATCTTTTGATGATGAAGTCCCAGCCTGCAAAAAAAAACAACAATTACTCGTTGCCCTAAGCCGTCGCTCGCAACAGCGCTAAAAGCCGTAGTACAAATACGTCCCACAAAGCGATCGCCCAAGCACTAACCCGTCCATTTTTTTCTGTCAACTCATTTTCGTCAATTTATTTCCCTCCACTGATTTCCGTCCATGTGGAAATTGTCAAACTTCCCCAAACCATTAGCAACTTTATACGATGTTCAATCCAAGCGATGTCGCCAAAACCCGTCGCCCAAACGCGTCGCACAACAGGTGTCGCCCAAACGCGTTGGTCAAACGCGTTGTCGGAAATAGTCGACAAAAGCTAACGCACAAAACCAATGCCCAAAGACAGCGACCAAAATTATCATGCTAAGCTTTCGCTTTCAAGCGATTCCCCCCTCAATTTATATTGACGCATTAAGCTTAAAATGTGGAACACATGTTGGCCCCCCCTTCAAAAACGTCGCCCAAAAAAGTCGCACCATGCCGTCCCCATGTAGATTTACAGACAAAATCCAAGTGTCGCCCAAACGCGTCGCACGAACGCGTCGCCCTAACGCGTCGCCCAAAGCCATCGTCCAAACGCAACGCGCACAACCGTCGCCCAAACTTGTACCCAAAACCTTGCTTCAAAAACCTCGCCAAAATCGTCCTGTAAAGGCGTGGCCCAAAAGCGTCGTTCAAACGCGTCGCATAAACGCGCCATTCAAACGCGTTGCTTAAAGGCGTCCTTCGAATGCGTCGCCCAAAGACACCGCCCAATGCCGTGCTTTTAAAACCTCTAGCAATGAAATTGAAATTTGCCTCATTTTCTTTATTCGTGCGTTTCATCTTCTTCTTTTCCTGTAAATATTCAACACATATTAAATTGTTTTTTGTTTCCATTCAATTGAAAGAAAGAATTATAATTTTTAAAAAACCTTTGACATCTTTTTCTTTTCTTTCTTCTTTTCGGAATGATCTTTGCTCGGCCCTGCATCACTTGACGATCCGGCATCATCGATTTTTCTCTTCTTACTCATAACCACATTGTCAGTTTCATCACAAGTGAGCATTCCCTAAACAAAGAAAAAAAAAGATGAGTCAATATCGCAAAGAAAAAAGTTTTAAATGGGAAGAAAAAAAAAACGGTTTTAGTTATACACAAGGGCGCTCACACGGCCGCACCACCGTAAATTCAGGAAAGAGAAAGGTTAGGAAGAGGAAAGGGAGTCATGGAGCTAAAAGGGATAGAAATAAAGAAAAGGAAAGAAAAGAAAGGAAAAGAAGAAACCCTTTATTGGAAAAATACGAAACGACTGTTAAAGAGGGAAGTTTTCAGCCAGGGAGGGAGGGAGGTACGACGTCCCCGCACCACCGTCATCAAAACTTGTGGGCGCCCGTGAATACTCTAGAAACTGAAGAGAGTGCATGGCATGCTCCTCCTAGGAGTCAACCACAGAGCACACTCTTACCAAGAGCATGCTTGCAAGCACACTCTTCCCAGGAGCATGCTTGACAAGCACGCTCTTCCTGGGAGCATGCTTGCTAGCAAGGAGAGTGCTTGAAAGCATGCTCCTGGGAAGAGTGTGCTTGCAAGCATGCTCCCAGGAAGAGTGTGCTTGCAAGCATGCTCTTGGGAAGAGTGTGCTTGCAAGCATGCTCTTGGGAAGAGTGTGCTTGCAAGCATGCTCTTGGGAAGAGTGTGCTTTGTGGTTGACTCCTAGGAGGAGCATGCCATGCACTCTCTTCAGTTTCTAGAGTATACGAAAGTCAAATATATTTCAAATGAAAGGACAATTATTACGTTTAGAATAGACAGAGAAAGACTGGGTTTAAATGCATGAAAAACAAAAACATTTTAAAATGAACCTAAAAACGATGGATTTACATAGATAAAAAAGAACAGGTTTTAAATGAACAAACAACGAACTACTTTTATAAAGACGTACAAAGAAAACCGGTTTTAGATAGCCAAAAAACAAAAAGTTTCAAACACACGAAAATAAATAAAAGCAAAGATAGCCAAAGAAAAAATAAATGAATGTTGAAATAAACCAAACAAGACGGAACACAAACACTCTAGAAACTGAAGAGAGTGCATGGCATGCTCCTCCTAGGAGTCAACCACAAAGCACACTCTTACCAAGAGCATGCTTGACAAGCACGCTCTTCCTGGGAGCATGCTTGCTAGCAAGGAGAGTGCTTAAAAGCATGCTCCTGGGAAGAGTGTGCTTGCAAGCATGCTCTTGGGAAGAGTGTGCTTGCAAGCATGCTCTTGGGAAGAGTGTGCTTGCAAGCATGCTCTTGGGAAGAGTGTGCTTGCAAGCATGCTCTTGGGAAGAGTGTGCTTTGTGGTTGACTCCTAGGAGGAGCATGCCATGCACTCTCTTCAGTTTCTAGAGCATACACCGCAGTAATAAAACCACTCATTTCCAGCGGGAGAAAACAAAGCATCGTATTGCGCGGCCACCGTTTCTAATGAACTTATCTACCGCGTTGATTCTAAAATGTTTATGTTTGCACCCATTCGGAGTGAAGACTGCATTTCATAGGATGACTCGGATCGTATGCCATTTTGCAATACGCTGGCCCAAAGGCGTCGCTTAAAAGCTTCGCCCAAACGCGTCGCCAAAACACGTCGCCCAAAGGCATCGCGCAAAGGCGTCGCCCAAACTCGTCGCACAAAGGCATCGCCCGAAAACGTCGCCTAACCTAACATAACCTAACCATCGCTTTAAACTTATCGCCCACAACCTTCGATTTAGGCTCTCGCCGTATGCCGTTCTTCTAATTAATCGCCCTAAGCCATTTCATCCATTCATTTCCGTCCACACATCTTTGTCTACGCATTTCCGTCTGCCCATTTCCGTCCACCCATGTTTGTCCACCCATTTCCGTCTACCCATTTCCGTCCATTCATTTTTGTGCACCCATTTCCACACATTCATTTCCGTCCACCAATTTCCGTCCACTACCTTTTGTCCGACCGCACATTTCAATCGAAACATTTCTGTCCACCCATCTCCGTCCAAACATTTCTATCTACCCATTTCCGTCCATTTTTCCAATCCATTGATTTCCGTCCATGGAGTAAGAATAACAATAAGTGTTAAACATCCACAAAACCATTATACCCCTTCAAGACTTTTAATACTTAGCGTAAATACAGGAAAAATTACCCTTTAAAAATCATTGCATTAACGCATCTCCTCCGCGTGCAAAGTTTGGTAATAGGCTGGAAGGGGTATGCTATTTTAAATCGTCCCCGCATGCATAAAAAACTTAAAACCGGCTTCGCACTACAAGATATGATTTGTGACGATGCTAATGAGCGTTTTTTCCTTCCCGTGACAAACACATTCAACATGAACAGAAGGCAAAAAATCAAAACGTGGACGGAAAAAAACAATTGAAAAGGTAGATTTTAAACACACCAACGTGTACTATTATTAACACTCTCCTTTATAAACAAATTTCATAAGCACGGACACAATGAAGATGATATAGTAACACCGGTAAAGAAGGCCCCATAATGACATTCAAAACGGCTTCCTCCACTTCTTCCATGTCATCTCTGCTAAAGGTTAAACTAAAAATCATCCTGAAAGAGAACGCATTATAGACATTACAATTCAGAATTAAATTATACTCGGTTTGATAATTTATAAATATCTTACAGCCGAAAGTTTATCCATTTTCAAGGTTATTGTGAACACCAAAACGAAACAATCAAAACAATCGGAACTGCGCGGTCACCATGGCAACAATACACAACTCATATCGAAGTTGACAATCGATTAGTCGACTATTCCAAAACGGCCTTTACCTTCCATCAAGAAAAAAAGGAGAAAAATTGAAACTGAAAACTGGAAAACAAAAAACGAAATTTTCTTACTAACCATTAACCAGAAACAATTTTTTACATTTCAAATTATATTAATATGCGCAAAGAAAAGGATGCACAAAATTGAGACAATTGCTTTGGTAAACTAGCGAACGAGCGACGCGAATGTTCTACATAAGAAATATTTTAAAAAAAACCAACTGACATACGTTCGCCCGCGCTGCGCTGCCTTGCAGCTGTCTAGTAATGGTGAAGATGTAGGGAAAATGTGGAGGCAAGGCTTGTTTTTATGAAAACATGAAGAAGCCTAACTTTAACAGGGGCGGACTGGCCCGCCCGGGGGCCCGGGAATTCCCGGGTGCACGCAAAAAAATGTAAATCAGACCCGTGCTAATTTTTTTAACAGATCGTTTTTAGCACGGGCGCTAAAAAACTAGCACAGCTACAAGCGACCTCAGGTGCGCGCGGCCAGATGGTTAGCTGGTTACCTGCCAAGCAACCACTCTCGCAAAACACAAATTTGTGGCGGATTTAGCCAATTTTGTTTGTTAATACTGCTAGTCGTGGGCTGCTAACTATTGTTTGCAAGCCTTCAAAAATTTCTAGTAAACAAGCTAAATGCGATCTGACGAGACCAGTTGATGTCATCGTCGTCCAGTCACCGTCGCGGTGGAGGAGGGTCGCCGCGAGAGTGCGCTGCGCGCGTCGCGCCGCCGCTCGCGCGCGGTGACAGTGTAGCATGCGTTTTCACTTAGTCTGGGCGCCATCGCTACTACAATTGTCTGACAGGTGGCGGATCGCTTCCCCTGCTGGAGTGACACTATTGACTCCCACGGGCAATTCTGAGTGATTCGTGAGCGCGTCAAGGGTCACTGACGACTCCGTCCTTCTTAAGATGTGTCCGTGACCGTTAGACCACATGGAGTAGACATTATTCGTAATGATGGTTTCATCTTTTCATCTCGGAATAACTAGGGGGCAAACAACTTGAGTAGTTCATCAGCAAGATTTGATTGGTTTACAGCTAAGGATTCCTTACAGTTCCAGCTAGGCCGTTAGATCCGTTGCTAGAATCGCCCAGCTAACACTTTTTAGCCACACAGTTAAAAAATTAGCTGCGCCTATAGAGCTAATCTTATTGGTGCGGGTGCTAATTTTTTTAGCTGTGATGAAAATTATTTTTTTGCGTGTGGGCCCTAGCCCGGCCGGGGCCCCCAAAGACCCTGTCTGCGGCCCCAGATGCCAAGGACTAAAATCAGAGCGCCACAAAACTGCCAAATCAGTCATTTGAACAGGCTTAAAGCGATGAAAAGCCCTGGCTTCTAGCTCGCTTCGCTCGCACAATTGACCATTTTGTACACTTTGGAAGGACGCTAATTCTTAGGACCCGCCGAGGACAGCTCAAATACCCTAGCTTCATCAGCACTATTATTGCTGGTTTATAGACTTTTGAACAGTTACATCCGTTTTTAGTAGAATCCTTAGGACAGGCCGAAACGTCGTGGGCGCGAAGCTCGCTTCGCTCGTAAGGGAGTATGGGGCGATTTGTAACAGATTTTGGAATTCTCTATACAAAATTAAGAACATTCTGCATATCGGTGTCAAACTTGTGCCAGTTGAGCAGTCTGGCCCTTCATCTAGACTGTGCAGCTCCATTGGGATCAATCTGGAGTCCGTAATCTTTGAAATCTAAGACGCTTTCCAAACCCTTGCATGCTGTTACGAATCGCCCCAGCATGGGGTGATTTGTAACAGCCATGGGGCTTTTCATAACAGCCTACACATTAAATGAAACATCGTCGGGAATGTTTATCTCCTCCAGCAGTTGTTCTTCGGATGTCCTACAGACGCCTTAAAATCTACATTACAAGCTGCCCTTGACCGCCTCAGCATAAACTGACCGGCTATGTCAACCCTAACCTCACTTTTTTCAATTTTGGAGGAAATAATAGAATAACTCGCTTTAAAATGCATTTTGAACTGTGTAAATGTATTGGAATTAGGCAGCAGATGATTCGAGAAATAATTCAAGCATTTAATTGCAAAAATTACTTAAATTCTGGTTTTTTACGGGTCTGTTACGAATCACCCCAATTGCCGGCTACGCAAGAAATACGTCCCTAACTATCACTGGACAAAGTAAAAGCACCTTATGCCACGTGGTTACATTGTAAAGGGGTCATGCTTCAAGGCCCCAACAGTACTTCGATGGTGATTCATACCTGGGGAGCCTCAGACAGAAACTTCCTAGAACTCAAAATAAAAGATTTACCTGTTTTCGGTGCACCCTAAATTTCAGACCCCTTCAAAACTATACCTGAGCACCGATCACATCCGCTTTGGTTGTAGAAGGACCCTGTACTTGAAGCGAAAGAGGGGCCATACTCAGATTTTCCTCTGCTCCCTCCACTTAAATTAATAAACGCATGTGTTACGAATCGCCCCTGTTACAAATCGCCCCATACTCCCTTACTTTGTGGTTTTTCCATCTCCTTTCAGAAATTTCTTGCATCTAACATCGTCTCTTGACGTTCTACCTACACGATTCTGTCAAATCACTTAAAACTCGAAATAAAATTACATTCAAAGAGAAAACAGGCACTTCCCTGAATTTGAAAGTTTCGTTTAAGATACGGTGATAGTGGGGCCCTTCAGACTCATTCCCGGAGGGGCCCTAGCACCGCTAGTCCGCCCCCGAACTTTAACATTTATGGACAACTCAAGAAG